GACGAGGGCCAAGGATAGGTGGTGTGCGTCTTTCTCAAATTTTAGTACACAAACTGGCCTAAAATTGAGGGAATGATGTGGCACACATAAGAGAAGTTAACTCAAGAATAAATACACCATAACTTAGAAAATACAGAAGATATAAAAAAGAAGATGTGGTATGATTGCCAATGAGACAACTCTTCACAAGAGACCAAATGACACAGAAATTAACAACTATAGGTCACCGTACGGCCTTCAACAATGAGCAAAGCCATACAAATGAGAAGAGCATACATATCAAGCTTGTTCGGGCCAGAACTTTTTATCTTTCGACCAAGCAACATTAGGTCGAGGCCGAGTGTCGCGTACCAATATGACCTCCATATGTCCTTGAACTTAAAATGTCCAGGTCAAATGATTGAATCGCTACCTTTGGTAGCTTGTCCGGGGCAAAACTTTTTTGTCTGTTGCAAAAGTATCATAAAATTAATCGAAGTCTTTTCTCAAATCGAAGTCTGTTAAATACGTGGGACTCATTTTTCTTGTTTATGTTTCACTCACGGGGTAAAAATTTGAAAGCTGTCGAAACTTATTGAATGTTTATATACATGTCCGAATTATACACTTAAAAAGATTTTCATTAAAAAAAAGTTATTTTGCGCTAAATTGCTGTTGAAGACCTTTTTAAAACAATATTTCAAATCTTATTTGTTTTAGTAAAATTTTATTTCGTATGACATCGCTAACCAGAATTTTGGTAGGTTCTTCTTTAAGAATTCTCGGTCATAATATACCCAAATTGCAGTCCCAAGTAATGTTGAGAAATGCGCAATTATGTATGTTCTCGATACTGAAAGTATAAACATAAAGCTATGATAATACTGATAATTGTAGTAAGATTAAAAGACTTTAAAATGCCCCTGGCGTAGAATAAATTTGGGGTAAATTGGTCCTACTTCTTACTTCCCTGATGATAATTCATATTTTTATATATTGTATAGCTAGATGTTATTGTTGCTGACTATATGACTCTAGTGTTGTACGGTTATCTTTCACGTTGGGTGCTGTCTCGTTGACGTATATTCACATCTCCTTTTTCATATGAATATGAAAGAAATGAGACAAAAGAGAGGCGAAAGATACCAAAGAGACATTCAAACTCATAAGTAGAAAATAAATTGACAACGCCATGGCTAAAAAACGAAAAAGACCAACAAACAAACAAAAGCACTCAAAACACAACATAGAAAACTAAAGACTGAGCAACACGGACCCCACCAAAAACTGGGGGTGATCTCAGGTGCTCCGGAAGGGTAATCAGATCCTGCTCCACATGTGGCACCCTTCGTGTTGCTCATGTTAGTACAAATCCGGTAATAAATAGATTGTGTGGATCAATTGTGTGTTTCGTGTACGCAAAATATTAATGACCATACAATCTACTATAGGAAGATGTGGTATGATTGCCAATGAGACGACTCTCTACCAGAGACCAAATCACGTAGAAGTTGACAACTATATGTCATCGTACAGCTTTCAACAATGAGCAAAACAGATACCGCATAGTAAGTTATAAAAGGCCCCGAAATGACAAATGTAATACAATTCAGACGAGAAAACTAACGGTCTGATTTATGTACAAAACAATAAACACAAGTTAAACATGTTTGCTGGCGCCAAACCCTCTCCCTAACCTGGGACAGTGTTTTACAGTACAACATGAGAACAAACTATAAAAATCAGTTGAAAAGGGCATAACTCATCAGATCGATACAAAGCAGACATTTTTTTTAACAAAAACACAGACCTGACGTGACAGGGAATTTATTCATCCCTCACAACAAAAAAGACACAAAGTGCAGATCTGAGAGTACTCGCAGTTACTGACAGATAGTTCAAATTCAACAATAACTAATTTAAAAATCATGTATTTTAAAAAATCAATCAGTACACATCCAACATCCAATGAATTTTGTGTAAAGACGTCATTAACAGTATTTAATATTACATGACCTTGTGCAATGCCAAAATATAGGTATCCACAGATTGTAGAATCGCGAATGTGCATATGTAACAATAATGTTTAGTATGGTTATAACTTACTGATAACAAAATCAATATTTATACCAATAAAAACAATATTCAAAGATCTAATTATAGTGTTGAATTGGTATAAGTTTACCTGGATCGTATCTAAATGGTTGTCTTGTCATTTTTCTATGATCGTTTTTTTATTTATATTTTCTTATAATAGAAAAGAAAGGTCATGGGGTATCCATCCGTGACAAATAAGTACATGCGTAGCAAAAAACACAAAAAGCAAAATAACAGTGCTGTTGTTGCTGTTCTTCATCTCAAAGTCACAGTGAAGCCTTCAACACGGAGCAAAATAACTAGCTCCTAGTAATAGTTTTAGTTTACAGTCATGACATCACATTTGACGTCTATTAGATGGTAAATATATATTATACCTTGGATTTGAGAATGTGAAGTCAGATTGGATGTCGATTTGAGGCACGGACAACGAGTAGGTACTGGACGTCGATCCGAGTCTTACATTTAATGTTTATAATTATTATTCATTATTTTTGCTCAAATTATGCCAAAGTATTTCTTATCACGAACAGAACTATAATGAACGCATGCAACTCTTTGTTTCGATATTCCTATGAAATTAATTCTATCAAAACTTTTGATTTTTCAACCCTGTATACCGACGACTGCATATAATGTTCCGATTACTGCATATAATGCTGTCACGACTGCATATAATGCTGTGATCACTGCATATAATCATAGTAGGTATAGTGTCCGCTGGGATCGGGTTTTTTCGAGTGATTTGATCGGGTTTTTTCGAGTGCGATCACGTTTTTTCGAGTGAATATGATAAAAAATGTAAACAAAAATACTTCTTTTTTTGTAAGACGGGAAATAGATGCTTAAACTTAATATACTAGATCATACTGTCTATTAGTATTGTTGATAAAAAGAAATCATCAACCTACATTATTTTGTGTTCTAAAAGTTTAATTTAGCTTTACAATGCCTTTATTCCAAATTATAGAATAAAGCTATTTTTTTACAAGTACCAACGCAAATGTCAAAGGAAATGTATATTTGGAATCTTTATATCCTTAGACATACAGACACTTTATAAAAATTATTGTTATTGCATTGAGAAGGACATTTTTAGAATAAATTCATTTTGGAATGTCCGTGTTTTTTCGAGAGCACTCCGGGTTTTTTGAGTGTGGTCCAGGTTTATATTGAGTGATTAAACAAAACTTCAATGGCTTAAAATCTTGTATGTATTTAACCAGTTACATTCATAAAAAGCATCGTATGTTTGTTTGTTTTATTGTTTGCCACATCTTATAAATTGCATGGACACCGGCATTGGTATATTTGGATAGATCAAACATGTCCACGCCTATGTAAATATAGTTGAACTATCCAACAAGTCAACGCCCAGGTACACATGTTGTATCGATCCAAACATACGTATAGCAATGTCGATTAAAGCAAATATGGATATCATACAGTAAACATTCGTGTTGTAAACAATATTAATGTGACCACAGACATATATATATATATAAATATAAAGAAAAGGAGGTGTGGTATGAATGCCAATGAGATAACTATCCACAAAAGTTCAAATGACGAAGATAAAAGTAGATATAGGTCACCATACGGCCTTCAACAATGAGAAAACCCTATACCTTATAGTCAGCTATAAGAGACCCCCAGCATGAAAAATTGAAACAATAAAAACGAGAAAACTAACGACCTAAGTTATACAATACAAAGTACGAACAAGAGTGCACCCGCTCACATAAACTAAAAATGATCCAAGAAAATGCGGTCATGGTCATATAAACCAAACCAGAAATACACGTACACCTTACAATTATTCCATACACCAAATATAGCTGACCAATTGCTTATAGTTTCTAAGAAACAAACTTAACCAGGAAAAGTTAACATTGACCAATTAATTATAAAAATGAGGTCAAGGTCAGATGAACCATGCCAAACAGACGTGTACACCTTAGAATCAATCTTTGCATTAAATATAGTTGAAATATTGATTATAGTATCTAAGAAACAAACTTAACCATGAAAACTTAACATTGACCAATGAACCATGAAAATGGGGTCAAGGTCAGATGATACCTGCTAGACAGACATATACACCTTACAATCATTCCATACACCAAATATAGTTGACCTGTTGCTTATAGTTTAAGAAAAACAGACCAAAACACAAAAACTTAACACTGAGCAATGAACCTATAAATCATAACAAATATTGTAGTATGAAATGTTCTCGGTTCAACAGTTTTACAAAGAATCCAGTAATTTCTAACATATCTTGATACTACAAGCTTATGGTAGAATGTTTTCAGAACAGAAAGTTATCATTGAATTGAAAAGGGTTAAATTTGGTCAATATAGTATATGTTTTGTTACTTACTAGGAATATATAATATTGCCCTTCGCTAAATTACAGTTACAAACTAGCAAAAGTTAGTTTTAAGCCCAAGAACGCCTTCTTTCTATGAAAAACCCGGACCATTTGTTTAAAAACCCGGAAGTTTTAAATGTTGCTCTCGAAAAAACACGGACAATGTAAAACACTGAATCGTTAGTGAACTACAAGGAAATTGTGCGTCGTTTGTGCTCAAAACATGTTTAGTATTCAGAATAAGAGCCATGAATACAACTATTATATACGCGAAATAGCAGTAAATATATCTGATCGCATGTAATATCACTCGAATAAACCGGATCTACACTCGAAAAAACACGATCTCCACCGGACACTATACCTACCGTGATAATGCTGTGACCATTGCATATAATGTTGTCATCACTGCATATAATTATGATCATCAACATAAGGCAGTCATAGCGTTCCATATAAAAGGGGATTTTGGATATACATCAATGCAATTGGAATATAACTATATTGAAATATATATATCACTAATAATAAACTCCTGATAATAACATACTTTCCAGATTTGCACCAGTTAACTCCAGGATCAGGAGCTAGTAATTTTCCCAATTGTTTTACAGGCATGTTTTCCACTGTAATATTAAAAAAACATAGTCTATGTTTATAGTTCATGCAATAAACAGATAGTAGTTAGTTATATAAATGAATCATTCACAAAGAATCATTAACGCACGAATGAAAGCAAAAGTACATTTATACTCCAGCGATACCTTCTAAAGGGGAAATCCTGACCAATCTTACCAATTTGAATTTTCGTTTCTGTTCCCCAGGAATTTCAAACAAAAAAAGATGACAAACTGGATCCTCCTTCTTTCTAATGAATTTCTTAACTACATGTACATACAACGTAATATTGCTGGGTCTTCTAAATCTCAACGAAACGTCTTTCCAAATACTAGCAGCGAATTTATCAACGAACAAAACTGGGTTTTAGATCATTGTGACAATACTTTGTCTAGGAACAGTTTGGTCCGATGTAAATACAAAACTACTACAAAGATTTGATAGAGTAAAAAAATCTTTTTTTTTTTGTGTTGTAGTATAAATTCTTTTGACTTCTATATATACTACAAAAGTACAGTGTATTTCTCAATTAATATTTAAGCATCAGAATGAAAGAAATATTCTCATTTTGTCTCATTAAAATAATGGCCAATGAAGATTCAAACGTACAGTCGGCATTTCTACGGGATCCAACTAAGCTCATCTTCTCACCGACTTGTCCGTTATTCGAATGAGGTAACTATCATACAGAGGCTTCTCAAGAAGAATAAAATTCATCTAGCATTGCACTATACCTTCACTTTTCTAGGTAAAGATAATGCTCTCTTTTTAAAATAATACCGTTTGGTGCCTACAATGTATGCTAATCGCATCGATCAAGTACTATATATACCAATATGGTTCTTACGAAGGATGAGTTTTTTTTTAAATATGTTAATGACTAAGACTGTTGATATTTATAATTTGTAATATAAATAAGATAAGTGACAGCTTGAACTAATATTAGACACTGATCACGTTATCGACTTCTCCAATGAGATTTGGCTCGCGCAAGTCAGTATTGCAATTGACTTACAATGGTGGTCTGGCACACGTGCAGATTTGTAACAAGGATATTAACATTTTTCTAATGATGGTATGATTTGTTTCAGTATAGTTAATTTTCAAGACATTGCACAAATATTTTCGTTTTTTAATTTGATTTATTAAGTTGCCTTCAGTATGCCCTTATAAGAGCATACAAAAAAAAACAACAAAAAAATCCGATACTTATAACTACATTTATGTATAATTAATTAAAAAGAAAAGCACTATACGATTTTTAAAAATATATTTATACAAATTCTTGAGAGACTGCAAAACACATGTTTTAAGATTATTACCTCACTCTTAAGACAACAAAAATATTACAAATGGATTTTGTTTACTCTCAATTAATCTTTGTTCAGTTTTCTAAATATTTTAGTGGCGGATATCTTTCAGAAAATTGGGTGGAGCTTCAGACATTGAATAACATCAAAATGAATATGCTGTAACGTTACTATTAAGCTCCAACTACTTTTGTCTTAGATTCTAGTTGGGTTTCATGTGTATAATTATCAAAGTATTGTACAACATCAAATTGCAGATAGTAGAAAATGCTTTTCTCCCAACACACATTTTAAGCATATTATTTCATTAAAACATCATAAGTAAAAATGCATTTTATATTTGAATTGAACTTGAATGACGACAGATATAGTTGTGTTCATATTACTCTTGTCTTCCTGATGAAGGTAAACCCTGAAAAGCGCTTCGGACGCATGAAATTATAAAGTGTTGTTTTATTTTTTTGCCTTATTCAATGGGGTTTTTATTTCACAAATTGTTAGGTTTACTAGAATATATTCTGATGAAGCTGGCTTTAATTAGCAAAGCGAAACTTTGCTTTAACATAATAGTTACTTATATATTTTTCGTAAAAAATAATGCTATATAGTATAACTGTATTTCTCATTATGCCTTCTATTGTAATGGCGTAAATAGAACTGAAACATTGAAAAAGGATATTATGCATATATTAAACTCAGGAAGATTCTTACATCTTTCAACAGCCATGGCAATAGATTCAAAACACTGACTAATTGAGTCAAAATGGTAAGCACAAAAGTCAGAGCACAAAAGTCAGCACTTTTGTGTTGAAATGAAATAATATGTTAATTTTCTGTTAAATTACTGTTTATGAAATTATGCGATACACTAAGGTTTTGTTCTGCCGCCATGCAAAGATTGCCTCAGCCGAATTTGGCACAACATTTTTGAATTTTCGGTTTTTTATGCTCTTCAACTTCGTATGTAATTTGGTGTTCCAACTATTTTGATTTGAACGCCATTGATGATTGAGTCGTCTTTTGTTTCCTTGGTCAGATTACTGATCCTCTTGTTGGTAGTTGTAACGTGCAGGTTTCCTTGTTCAGATTACTGATCCTCTTGTTGGTAGTTGTAATGTGCAGGTTTTCTTGTACAGATTACGGATCCTCTTGTTGGTAGCTGTAACGTGCAGGTTTCCTTGTTCAGATTACTGATCCTCTTGTTGGTAGTTGTAATGTGCAGGTTTTCTTGTTCAGATAACTGATCCTCTTGTTGGTAGTTGTAATGTGCAGGTTTCCTTGTTCAGATTACTGATCCTCTTGTTGGTAGCTGTTATGTGCAGGGTTCTTTGGTCAGATTACAGATCCTCTTGTTGGTAGCTGTAATGTGCAGGTTTTCTTGGTCAGAAAACTGATCCTCTTGTTAGTAGTTGTAATGTGCATGTTTCCTTGGTCAGATTACTGATGCTCTTGTTGGTAGTTGTAATATGCAGGTTTCCTTGGTCAGATTACTTATTCTCTTGTTGGTAGCTGTAATGTGCATGTTTCCTTGGTCAGAAAACTGATCCTCTTGTTGGTAGCTGTAATGTGCAGGTTTTCTGGGTCAGATTACTGATCATCTTGTTAGTAGTTGTAATGTGCAGGTTTCCTTGGTCAGATTACTCATCCTCTTGTTGGTAGCTGTAATATGCAGGTTTTCTAGGTCAGAAAACTGATCCTCTTGTTAGTAGTTTTAATGTGCAGGTTTCCTTGGTCACATTACTGATCCTCTTGTTGGTAGCTGTAATGTGCAGGTTTCTTTGTTCAGATTACTGATCCTCTTGTTGGTAGCTGTAATGTGCAGGTTTTCTTGGTCAGATTACTGAACCTCTTGCTAGTAGTTGTAATGTGCAGGTTTCCGTGGCCAAATTACTGATCCTCTTGTTAGTAGTTGTAATGTGCAGGTTTCCTAAGTCAGGTTACTGATCCTCTCGTTGGTAGCTGTAATGTGCAGGTTTCCTTAGTCAGATTACTGATCCTCTTGTTGGTAGCTGTAACATACAGGTGTTCTTGGTCAGATTACTGATCCTCTTGTTGGTAGCTGTAATGTGCAGGTTTTCTAGGTCAAAAAAACTGATCCTCTTGTTGGTAGCTGTAATGTGCAGGTTTTCTAGGTCAAAAAAACTGATCCTCTTGTTGGTAGCCGTAATGTGCAGGTTTTCATGGTCAGATTACTTATCCTCTTGCTAGTAGTTGTAATGTGCAGGTTTCCTTGGCCAGATTACTGATCCTCTTGTAAGTAGTTGTAATGTGCAGGTTTCCTTGGTCAGATTACTGATCCTCTTGTTGGTAGCTGTAATGTGCAGGTGTTCTTGGTCAGATTACTGATCCTCTTGTTAGTAGTTTTAATGTGCAGGTTTTCTTGGTCAGATTACTTATTCTCTTGTTGGTAGCTGTAATGAGCAGGTTTTCTTGGTCAGAAAACTGATCCTCTTGTTAGTAGTTTTAATGTGCAGGTTTCCTTGGTCAGATTACTGATCCTCTTGTTAGTAGTTGTAATGTGCAGGTTTCGTTGGTCAGATTACAGATCCTCTTGTTGGTAACTGTAATGTGCAGGTTTCCTTGGTCAGATTACTGATTCTCTTATTGGTAGTTGTAATGTGCAGGTTTCCTTGGTCAGATTACTGATCCTTTTGTTGGTAGTTGTTATGTGCAGGTTTCCTTGGTCAGATTACTGATCCTCTTGTTGGTAGCTGTAATGTGCAGGTTTTCTTGGGTCAGATTACTGATTCTCTTAATGGTAGTTTTAATGTGCAGGTTTCCCTGGTCAGATTACTGATCCTCTTGTTAGTAGATGTAATGTGCAGGTTTTCTTGGTCAGATTACTGATCCTCTTGTTAGTAGTTGTAATATGCAGGTTTCCTTGATCAAATTACTGATCCTTTTGTTGGTAGCTGTAATATGCAGGTTTTCCTCTTGTTGGTAGCTGTAATGTGCAGGTTTTCCTCTTGTTGGTAGCTGTAATGTGCTGGTTTCCTTGTTCAGATTACTGATCATGTTATGGGTAGCTGTAACGTGCAGGTTTCCATGGTCAGATTACAGATCCTTTTGTTGGTAGCTGTAATGTGCAGGTTTTTTTGGTCAAAAAACTGATCCTCTTGTTGTTAGCTGTAATGTGCAGGTTTCCATGGTCAGATTACTGATCATTTTGTTGGTAGCTGTAGTGTGCAGGTTTCCTTGGTCAGATCAGATTACAGATCCTCTTGTTGGTAGCTGTATTGTGTAGGTTGGTTTCCATGGTCAGATTACTGATCCTCTTGTTGGTAGCTGTAATGTACAGGTTTTCCTTGTGGGTATTTGTTTATGACAAGTCGTTCAGATTGGCAAAGGGGGATATTTGTGTACGCATAAAACTGGTTTAACCCCCACCTCACACAAACACACACACACACACACGGTTCATGTGCCTATACAAATTCAGACTAGTTGGAACATTTGTTGTTATATCTTTTTTGTATTTGTTTCTACGTCTATTTTTCGAAGGAGTCGGTTGATGGTGGTTAGTTTGGTCTGTTGTTCTGTACAATATTTTTGGTAATTGCTATTTTCCTTTTTATGTACTACGTCCCGACACTGACAGTGATGGTGGGTTGAGAAATATACTTTACGACAATAAACCTTATTAAAATTTTTTTCTTTTGTGAATTTTTCATTTTTATGTGTCGAAATTCCAGCATTATATGTATATAACGCATATACTTTAGGATATTTCACAATTATGTAATCTTGATTGAGGTTTACTGCTTACAAGGAATCTTTTGAGTCTTGTGTTCTTCGTGATAAATCTTTCATCATCAATCAACGAATGCGCATTACCGTCGGATTTTCACTATGAGAAACGGGACGGGCGCTGTTGAGAGGGGTAGATGTTAATGACACTGTTTTTATAGTATCAAAATATATATATTCTATTTATTATGAAATTGATCGCACACAAAACTTGATATTTCGTATTGACAACGACCTTGCCACTGACGACGCCGGAAAAGTTACACAATTTTCTTGTGTCGCAGCATTCATCGCAGCCGAGACAAATATTGCGTAACATAAGCCGGATGTCCAGTATTTACTGATAAATATGAGAAAAAGATAGCGTATCCTGCTCCTGAATGTTGCAATTACATTTCATATTTCCATGTTTTAATATTCAAGTAAAAGTTTCAAAGCCATGTTATTGTTTAAGAAATAATTCATGGGGGCTTAAATTAATACCGATTTTACCACGGGTTTGCCCTAAATGCCGATATTTTACCCCTCGCGGCCCTTTATGCTAAATATTCTACGGCGAACATTAGCGAGGGGTAAAATATCAGCATAAATGGCAAACCCGTGGTAAAATCGGTATTAAGTCAAGCCCACATGAATTATGTCTATTTTAATAGGACACATACGACAATTCTTCTGGATCGAAGGGCTCTAGTTGAAGGCAAATATTTTCTGTTTCCGTAACTAAGATGCAAGTCATAATATAAAGTAATTGGTAGATAATGAATCTTAACTTAGATTTAGGGGGGGGGGGGGGAATTTAAGAGTATTGTTTATTTTCTGTAGAGCGGTATTTTGACAGGTTAAGGGTATTTTTCTAATACTACTTTTGCAAATGTGATATTTTTGGGTAGTCTCTTGCAATGCAAATGTAAAATCATAACATTTGTTGATTTATTTTAAATACCAGAAAGGAAAACATTCATAGAACTTATGTTTTACCACTAGATCTGGCTTATTAGTCTTAAAAGGAATAATAACGGGACTATATTATGAAAGCGAATCAGGACGCCTTTGTAAAACCCCGAACAATAAATACTAGTAAATCGTTTTGTACTTTTTCTTCTTTAATTGGTTCGACGAAAGTATATAACAAAAGCGTTCCGATAAATCCACCCTAGCGAAACAAATCAAAGGGCTAAGAAAAATATTTTAGCGGTAACATTCTCTGGCCAAATTTATGTTCTAAATAATTGATTTTCGGAGATTCGATATAACAATGGATGTATTCACTTGTCTAAACCGATAAAACCTTGTATTTTTCGAACATAAAATCCAAACATTGGAAATGTTTGCATATTTTGAACCCAAACGTTAATTCCTATAAATCATAAAAAAAATCAACTATTTCCGTTGGAAATAACTTCGTAAAATGTAAAAATTTCATAGAATCCGTCAAAAAAATCAGACAGACATACTTTATAAATCCACATTTATTACCGTCAAAGAGATAAGATAGATAAGAGATATAAGTAATAAGTAAATCAAATAATAAAATATTTACCTTCAATAGCTGCTGTAACTGGAGTCGCCTCTTCCTTTTTTTTATCTGTAGGTTTGATTGTTGTTGGTGAAGCTTTACTTGTAGTTCCCTGTTTTGTAGTACCTGTTTTAATGCTATTCACTTTTCCTGCCGGTTTTGACACAGCTTTTGGCGTTTTTGCCTCTACTTTCTTCGGTGGCATTATGGATAACAATACTAAAACAAGGAATTCAATAACACTTCAAGCCAATATTATTGCCGTTAAGAAATATTTTCACTGGAAAATACACATTCTACAATGCGAGTCATAAAGTGTTCTAGGTTAACTTTTGATAACATGTAGAGAGCTATATACATTTATATCATTACTTTGAATATTCTAACTAATTTGAATCACTGTATTTCAAAGGTTGACTCAAAACAGCAGATAGAAAAGTGATATCAAAATATCTAATTTGTGAAATCTAAAAACCTTTGTGACACAATCATAACAAGCAATCAAAGGAATTTCTGCTCTATTTCAGGCGCATTGAAAATAATAATAAAACAGTTGTAGCCTTTGTATGAGGTCGATACGAAGATATATCGACCTAAAGAAGTATATCGACCTCAGACTTCGTCCTCAGTCTATATACTTCTTTCAGGTCGATAGATCCTCGTATTTGACCTCATACATACACAATATTCGTACAGTGTAGGAAAATATCAAATTTATTTGACGAGCTTTAGAAACAGAGAGAAAAGCGAGCCTCCTACACTGAACCAATGTTGTTTTTATTCTGCAATTTAATGTTAGGCTTAAACGTATAGATTTTTCCCCATCCGAATCGTTGTTGAATGAAATCGCCATGACTTAAGCGCGGACCAGCGACGAGGACCCTAAATTGAAATGTTACGTAAACAGTAATTTAAACATAACCTTTCGCTCGCAACAGAAGCAGGATACCAGGAGACTTTAAACGTCTTGAAAGGCTATATATAAATCATTGATAGACCATTTCTACCTGGATCTCAAATACTATATCACCCTATAAAATTATAATACGATATTTCTACATTCTTCCAGTTTTTGTCAGAACTATACTTTTCTATCTCTACTATCTCTACAATTCCAATTGCCTTATTACGTAACTTATTAGACCGAAAGTCCAGAGAATAATATTTCTATAGTGGAGTATCTCCCTTTTTTGCTTTTAAAAAAATGTAAAAAAATCTATCTTAGTAATACTATGCTTAAATATTTTGCATGATTTGAACTCGATCTATGAGTTATTCTCAGCAAATCATGCATTGGAGAATTGAAGATGTTACAGAAATCCAAAATACATGGTCTTTCTCCAATACAAATATAGGAAATAGTTTATAGGTGTCATTTTATTGTTTTGTAGTGTTCCCCCGAAAAGATTTTTTAAAGGCACTTGTTATTCAAAATACAAGTGAACAAAGAATATTGCTCTTGGTGTCAATAAATTCAATTCCTACATAAACTTTCTATATTTCAGTCAAATATTTATGATCTTCATAAGTAATTTCAATCATTTAGAAAACTAGGAGTTACACCATTATGACACCCAGACGACGAATTATCAGTCTAAAAAACTTCATATTGAATAATTTTCCAGAGTATTTTATTTGAACTTTTTGTCTTGATAACATCGGAGTTTTCTTCTTAAAAAGTGGGAAGTCAGCTTCTTTTTTTGTGTGTACTTTGTATCGATCTGATGAGTTCAGATTTGATATAGTTTGTTCTTATGTTGTACTGTTACATTTGTACATTACTGTCCCATGATAGCCTCAGTGGCGTAGCTTGCATGTATGCTCAGATGCTCAAGCATCCACATCATTTTGACACAAAAAAAAATGATAAAAAATAAATAATTATAGGGCTTTAATAATTGCATAATATGATCGCATGTTCCCAGCAGATCAACTCTGAGGATAACACAAAATAATTTCCGAAGCATGTGCATGGTCGGTCCGTGTTTGATCTTCATTTAGTTAATGTAAACAAGATGGATAAGTCGCAGAAAAGTGTTCTCGATTTTTTTCGTAAAAAGCCTACGTCGTCGGCTACGGCAAGCGCAGAGGATGATGATACGCAGACCCGCGGACAAGTTTCGTCTGAAATTGAGTCAAGCGGAGCGATGGCCTCTACATCAAACGCAGCAGCAATGTAACCATCAAATAAACCACCATATCCTGATATCGCTTCCTGTGACATGAAAGACAAAATGATCAAAACCCAATTGGTGACAGAGTGCGATCATTCCTGGGCTTTTAAATACCCGTTTCCATCTAGGTACAAATATTAAATTTTATTTTCAATAAAATATGCCTCTTATATTTTAACAGAATATATAATTATTGTACAATTACGCACACACAATGTCGTCGCTTCATGATTGACATAACATTTGATGCTCTCAGGGGAGGGGTTCCAAGAAATTTTTATAATCACATATTTTGGCAATATCATCACTAAAAGGCCAAGTAATCATAAATAAAAAAAAAACATAGGAGGCTCAAATTCCGAGAAAGGGTGGTCACGAATATGAATATGAACTACCGAATTCGAGTATTTACCGGGTTTGTAATAACATGAGCAAAACGACGAGTGCCACATGTGGAGCAGGATCTATTTACCCTACTGGAGCACCTGATATCACACCCAGTTTTGGTGGGGTTCGTGTTGCTTAGTCTTTAGTTTTTTATGTCACAAGTTGTGTCTAGTTGTACTATTATTTGTCTGTTTGTCTTTTTCGTTTTTATACGGCCGTTTACGGGACATATTATGGTACACCGTTGTCTGTCCGTCCGCGTCCGTCTGTCCGTCGTCAACATGTCGGACATTAACCAATTTGCATAAAACTTTGGAGAATTGTTTATATCGATTGACGTGAGCTCCCTTTCTTTTTTTTTATAAATTTTAGATTTTACGTTTCCGAGTTGTAGGGAATTTTCCAGTTTTTAGACAATAACTCAAAAATGTTTTCAGCAGTTCACATGAAACTTTGGTGAATTGTTTATATCTATTGACGTAAGCTCCCTTACGATTTTTATAAATTTCTGATATGACATTGAGAAGTTATTGAACTTTATTCTTTGAAAACGCGACGGGCGTATCATGCGCTCATGTCGCAGCTGCTTATTAGCCATGGCATTGTCAGTTTGTTTTCGATCTATGAGTTTGAATGTCCCTCTGGTATCTGTCGCCCCTCTTTTATTATGTTATTCCAAAGTTCCATAAACAGAAGTGCCACTGTATTGGTCCGTTTTTGAGCTGTCAAATATAAGTTTGGGTGGGAAACTTTTACATTAAATATTTATGAATTGAATGACGGTAGTTTCGAGAAAACAATAAAAATGCTACTGGAAATATATGAATTGTTGGTAATATTGAAATTCAAAGCAACACAATCTCAGGTATACCAAATATAATATAGAAGTGACCCCCATGCTTATTTAGGGGTCTGGGCTTAGGGGAAATGCGAGAATCATGCATTGAGCTTTGCTTTGTTTTAATTTTCAGTCTTCTTTGTGTTTGTATTTAAAATACGGAATAAATAATGGTACGATCCATGATTTAAAGATTTGGTTAAATTGTAGGGTTATCTATGGTCGGGAGAGAAAACTGAATGCATCCTGGTTTAAAGAGCATCCATGGCTAAGATATTCGATATCTACGGACGCACTTTATTGTGGAAGTTGTACTGTCTTCGCGGATAAAGGTGCCAAAGACAAACTGTTTATTAATCCGGTTACTGATTGGGTTAATCTTTCTAGATATGTTACTCGTCACGTAAAAGAGGGATCGTGTCATGCCTTGTCGGAAGTTGCGGCCGAAAATTTTAAGAGAGTGAAATCGGGAAAACTGAATCGGTCGTTATCTTCGTCGAAAAAGGAGCAAGTTCTAAGAAACCGTCATATCCTTGATAAAATTATTCGAGCATTACTTCTGTGTGGTAAACAGAACATTGCTATTAGGGGTCATACCGAAGAAAGAAGTAATTTCATGGCAATCCTACGTGAATTCGCGGAAGATGATCTAGTGTTAAAAGAACACATTCAGAGTACTACTGCAAGGTACAAATATACTTCCCCCGACGTTCAGAATGAACTTTTGATAATATGCGGGAAACAGATTTCTGATAAAATAGTCGAAGATTGTAATGAAGCTGGTTTCTTTTCTGTACTTGGCGATGAATGTACGGATAAGTCAACTAAAGAACAAATGTCTATTTGTTTAAGATTTATAGATCCAGGGACCAAAGATGTTAGGGAAGATTTTCTTTGTTTTGTGGAACCCGAAAACACAAAGGGCGAAACAATCGCTAGATGCTTATTAGGCACATTAGTAAAGAAGGCGTCGTGATCGACAGAATGAGAGGACAGGGTTACGATGGTGCCGCTAACATGTCCGGCAAATTTCGAGGCGTCCAGGCAATAGTCAGGGAACGAGTGTCAACAGCAACATACGTACATTGCATGGCCCACCAATTTAACCTGGCTCTAATACATTCTTCAAAAGAACACGTGTGTTTGCAATATGATGGGAACTGTTCAAGATATTGCATTTGCGTTTGACTATTCAGCAAAGAGACTCAATGCCTTCGCAACTGAACTTAATAATTGTGATGAAAACGTCAAGGAAGCCATGGAAAACCGCTCCAAGCTAACAACGTTATGCGAAACTAGATGGTCAGCTCGGGCAGATTCTTTGTTCACATTTAAGTCGGCCTTCCCCGTAGTTGTTCATGCCTTAGAACATCTCCGTGATAATTGAGATGAAAAAGCCGGTGCTTACTTAGCCGCTATACTTAAATTTGAATTCTTGATTGCGTTGGTTGTAGCGGAGCATATATTAAGTGTGACAGTCGCCCTTAGCTATTGTTTACAAAGTAAGAGTTGCGATCTGATCGAAGCAGTTGGCGAAAGCAAGGTAGTCGTCCAAATATTGCGTGACGAAAGAAACGACCCCACTGTGTGGGATGCATTGTATGGAAAGGCAGTAGAAATTAGTAAATCCTTGTACACCGCGTCGCGCCGGGCGCCAAATACACAGAGCAAACCACCCTGTACAAGACCCACAAGAATACTGGAAGGTTTCTCTGTTATACGTTTTTCTTGACCATCTCGTTCAGGAATTGGAATCACGTTTAATTCAGTCAGAAGACAGGTTTCTTGAAGAATATTTGGTGCCAGTTAAACTGCAAGGATTGACATCAGCTAATATTGAAAAGATATGCAATGCTTACAACGACGATATTGGCACTCCTGAACAACTCCAAGAAGAAATTTCTCGTTGGAAAACCAGATGGAGCATGACCATGTTGAAAACGAAACCAAAGACACTCCACGAAACACTGGTCACAACAAACAAAAATCTCTATCCGAACATTTCTGCTATAATATCTGTCCTTCTAACTATGCCAGCTTCAACAGCCACAGCAGAGAGATCTTTTAGTGCAATGAACAGAATCAAAACATACTTGAGAACCACGATGAGAACAGACCGTCTATCGGCGCTTGCTATGCTGCACATCTATAGAGATGTGGAAATCGATAGACAAAATGTTATTACAAAATTTGCATCTATTAAGGGAAGAAAGCTGAACTTTTTGTTGTAAATATTCTGAATTGTTAATTTTGTAATTGATAAAATAATAAAATTATCATTGGAACCCTATTCAATATTTTCAAGGCTATTATTTATGGATTTGAAACAAAAATCTAACCAGTGTCGGAATCGGGGGTAAGTACAAATGCATTCAAGAAAAAGGCCGAAAAAATATCATTTTCTTCATAAAATGGTCCCAAAAATATTTTCGCCTCGATCCGCTCGGCGAAATTTTTTGCCTCAAATATAATTTTCAAATATGGCTTTTTAAACTATATGTAATAATATTATGAAAAGAAAAGTAGGGGTTAGCGGGCAAAATTTTTAATGGCTGGCACTACATGGATAAAACCAGAGGATTCCGAATATCTGGCTAAATTTCAAAAACAAGAGTAGCGAACATCCTTAATGGGGATACAGATATATGACACTGAGACAACCATAGTACATATTTTCTCTAATGTTCATGCTTTTTCACATTTCTCGATCGGTGTGAGAAAAATATTTCTCTTCTCTAGAGAAAACTTTGTTCTCGGCAAATGTTTGGTCGAAATTAATTATGACGTCGAATTTTCTTGGTTTTTTCTGAATTTCCTATTGTGACGTCATGAAAAAAGGCGAACACAACTTTCTGCAAATCTTTGAAAAGGAAGGATAAATTTTGTTTAAATATCGTCTAAAAATCATTAGAGAAACAGATTCCATCAATTTAACTCGTGTATTACGATATTTCTCCACTCTCAACAGTTAAATTTGAATTATTTAAAAAGCTCGGCAAGCCTCCTGCTTTAAATATTAAAATTTAACTGTCTCGAGTGGAGACTTGATGCAGTGGTGGAATCTATATGTTATTCAACCCTAAGAAAAATTACATTTTTGTCATCCATCGTCATATTGAAGAATAATTTCAAATCAAACATAAAACTTCTATTCACCCATCCTTTACAATAAAGGATGTCATTTGGTCATTCTCAGCTACTAACATTTCTAAGTCAGACCTTGAACCTTGGTGTAACATTTATGTACCCCCTTCTTCGTTGACAACACTATTACGTCAACTTAGAATAATTTCTGTATGACTCTCCATTGACATTTGGTATCTACGTTCAACAAATTTCCAGTTAAATGTAATGCTTAGTTGCGTCAGCTTAGCTTATGTGCCAAGAATCCTTACATTGTTTAAATGTTAAGACTACTTGTTAACTCTAAAAATGAACAATTCATTACAATCGAACATTGAAATTAGCAAAATGTTAATGTGACTTGCCTGCATATCAGTTCCTAAGAGAATTGGCCATTATTTTCCCTTGTGACTAGGATTCCTTCGGTAGTAGAGGAAATAATGCTTTCCCGGTCTGTGTGTCCGTTCGTCGGTCCTTCGCATACAAGTTTAAAGTGTTTTTTTGGGATGGTAAACGATGTAGTTTTGGTAAAATCAACTAGAGCTCAGTACACATGTTAGATATTAGGGGAACTTTTAAAAGTATTTAATAAATTATGGCTTTGACCTCGTTTTAAGGATTAACTGAACATAGCAATGTGATAGTGTGAAAAAAAGTACAATCTCAGGTTAAAATTGAATTTATTCACATAAAATTGAAACGTAGATCCAATGTTCATTGTAATGTGAACTTTTTAGATAAAATGCCAAATAACGATCTTGACCCGGATTTCATAGTGCATATTCTTGTTTCTTTGCTCAGATGTTGAGGTTATTACCACGTATTGGCGGAATAAGCATAGACATATATGAAAATTAAAAATCAAAATCGTGCATCTTGGATTTGATTAAAATAGCCCGCCTACGATATTAGGTCGTTTTAATGACATCGCCGTTAGGCGAAGAGGGCATTAAGTGTTACCCTTGTCCGTCTGTACGTCTCCGTCCGTACGTGTACGTATGTCCCGAAATTGGTTTCCGTTCTCTTACTTTAGTTTGCCTCATCCAAATGTTATGACACTTACACACAATGCTTATTACCACAAAATACAAATGGAAAAAATGCTGAATTTTTCGTTTCCGTTCTCTAACTTTAGTTTGCCTCAACCAAATGTTATAAAACTTATTCACAATGCTTATTACCACAAAACACAGATCAAGTTCGAATTTGAGTGGCGTCACTCTTAACGTTTTTGAGTCATGTCCCTTTATAACGTTATATACAAGCGGGGCCATCATCTGTGTCCCATGGACACATTCTCAATCTATTTTAATTTGTTTCAGAGTTTTTGATTATGGCAGTACTTGACATTCCTGTTTTGACATACTTTTGGTTAGCAGTTCAATTCAAATTTTACTTTTAAAAAATACATACAACACATAGATCACTTTAACTTAATGGAGATAATATGTTCTTCGCAGCTACTCTAACGAAAATGTCGTAAATACAGGTAACGCGATCATTAAAGAAAAATAGCAAAGAACAAAGACAATGATTTCTTTATTCAAAAGGTGATTCGGATTAATTCTAGTCGTCAGAAAGATTTTTTAGGCGTCGTTCCATAAAATACATATTTTGTTTTGTTTCTCATTCTGAATATTGTGTTCCGTTTCGCCCTGTTTCGTTTCGTTTATAACTATGCATATTTCGATTGGTTTCGGCCGATTGGTTTCGACCGGTTTCGTTTCATTTCGTCATGTTTTGTGTCGCTATGTTTCGTATCGTTTCGTTTCGATTCGTCATGTTCTGTTTCTGTTCCGTTTCTAACTGGTTATAATTTTATCTACAGCCCCAAAAGATCTATCCCTGAGTACTGTATTAAATTATAACAATCCGAACATTTAGATAAGACCGAAATCGCCATTTCGACCATTCCAGTTTCTCGAACTATATGTTATATCAATGTGGGAACAAAAAAAATGCATAGTAAAATCAAGTTATGTTTTTCATTTTTCTGAAACATCAAATGCATTTAATTATTATATATATAGGTCTTGTTATGCTTTAAACTGTTTGTCTGTACATAGAGTAAATCTTGTGGTGTAAACATCGCCATTTTAGCCTAAATGGTAAAGATAAACCTGAACTCATTACACAATTTATAGTTTCAGTTGAAACGTATACGTAATTTACTGAATGTACCACCAAGATACTTTACGTTAAATTTCAATCATCATGATAAAGCATTTATTTATTACTTACATGAAACTCTACGCTCAAGCAATTGTTGTACTGTTCTCTTTTTTGACTTTTTCAATAATCAATATCAACCACACTATTTAAACTTTTATATTCTCAGACTGATCTTGAATTTAAACTCCTACATATTGGAAAATTAATCATTATGTGTGCTTGTCTATAAAATCCCCTTCTAATTTAGGATTTAAATGGTCAATCGTGAATAAACATATTTATAATTTGATCGTATTATAGTTTCTTGTTTCAACATGATTAATTTTCATAAAATAGTGTGTTTCGGGGGTCTTTGTAACAATCATTATTATTTTAAAATAACTTTGACAAACATTGGTGGAATTTCGCTTTTGGTTACATAGATGTATGGTAACTATAAATTCTTCCAATGACCATTCCATTTTAGTGTAAATCTGATAGAAGAAATTTCTTCAAACGAACTAACTGCTCCAAGTATTTCTTTCTTGATCTGAATGTAGGTCGGATTTAAGAAATTTCTTTCAATGAACTAGCTGCTCCAAAAATTGCATTTAAAGTTTTAAAATTTCTTACAACAACTGCCACAAGTATTTCAATTTAGGCATAGGTCTGATAGAAGAAATCCAAGGAACCAATAGCTTGAAGTAATGCAGTTTAGGTTTGATAGAAGAAATTTCTTACAATGAACTAACTGGTCCATATTTTTAAATTGTTTTAGTTCTAAGTCTTATAAAGGAAACTTCTTCAAATGAAATAACGGCTTCAAGTATTTTATTTTAGGCTTGATAGAAAATAATCTCCCAATGAAGTAACTGCCATTATTAGTTTATTTCAGATATCGCCAATTCATCATTTGATTTTGGAAATCGTGCCGTCATACAGGCTCTTGTGAAACGGGGTTCTTGTGAAACCTATTTTGAAAAAATTCCGGACTTGATCCATTTTTTTTTAATTACAGATCAGTGTTCAATTAACCTTTTATTTCAAAAGTTCTCGAAAATGTAGTTAATAAGATACTAGATGTTCATCTGGACTCTAACTGAACTCATTGTGTGATACATTTCAGTCCGCATACCGATCGCGTCATTCAACTGAAACTGCATTAGCTAGAGTACATCACGATATAAATGCGGCTGTAGATAAACAATCATCAGCGGTATTGGTGCTCTTAGACCTTTCTGCTGCATTCGATGTCATAGATCACATAATTCTTCTGGGGAGTCTGTCATTTGCGTATAGCATAACTGGTTGCGCTCTAGCGTGGATCTACAAGAAAATTAACTATGGCTTTAAGAAAAATGAATTGTCACTCGCCTAGTATAGATGTAAAAAAAATTATGTTAAAACTTCACTAAGATAAAACTGAACTTATCATATTCTCACAGAAACATCCGTGACCAAGTTTACCAAATCTAATAATGATTAGTAATGTATCATGCGTGAAAACCCTAGAAATATACTTTGATAAATATCTTACAATGTAACAGTAAGTGATAAATATCTTACGATGGAAGAGTAAGTATCAGCCATAGTAATATCCTGTTATTTTAATATCTGTAATATTGGACGCATGTAAGACACTAGTAACTGCCTGGTAACATCCAGACTTGATTACGGGTATATTCTGCTGTACGGTATCAATAAGACTACAATGAACAGATATCAAAAAGTGCAAAATACATCAGCTTGTCTTATAACCATCACAAAAGAAGCATGAACATATTTTGCTGATACCTGTCGAGATACATTGGTTACCCGTCCAATAAAGACCGCAATACAGAGTACTTGTTTATGTTAACTGTGAGTTGAATGCAATTGGCACAGCTTACAATCGGAAACTAGTCAACATGCACGTGCCACAACGATCCTCCGTTCAGGTTCTACACAACTGCTTACTGTTCCAAAATTGCGGACGAAGACGTATCATAAAGACAATTTGATTGGGCAGCAGCATTTCTTTGGAACAATCTCCCGAACAGTTTGGGACAATTTAGGTCGTAGAGGGTTTTAAATCTCAGCAAAAAACTTGATTTCTGGAATATTCTGATGTACAGTGTCATTAAGGCTACAATGAACAGATTACAAAAGTGCGAAATACATCAGCTCATCTTATCACCAAGACAAAAGAAGCATGCACATATTTCGCTGATACCTGCCGAGATCCATTGGTTACCCGTCCAATAAAGACCGCAATACAAAGTACTTGTTTATGTTTACTGTGCGTTGAATGCAATTTGCCCTACTTACAATCGGGAACTAGTCAACATGCACGTGCCACAACGATCTCTCCGTTCAGGTTCTACAAAACTACTTACTGTTCCAAATTGCGGACGATGTATGGTAAAGACAAATTGTTTGGGCAAGCGGCATTTCTTTGGAACAATCTCCCGAACAGTTTGGGACAATTTTGTTCCTAGAGGGTTTTAAATCTCAATAAAAAAAACTCATTTCTTTGTTTTTATGCTTGTTAATACAATTTTATTTACATATGTCTTATCTACACTGTAAATTTTGCGTTCCAATTTTAAACACAATATGTTCGGTTATTAACACTCGTGTTCCACATTGAACACTAGCGTTAAAAAGTATTTATTAACACATTGTGTTTAGTCTTTTAACGTACATGTTCAAGAACAGTGTTCTGAATTTGAACACTTTAGTGTTCTAATACTGTAATGGGGGTGAAATAATATTTCATAGCTTTAGAGTCAAAAAGACGATGAATAAGGATGGTTAATATCATTTTTTACGGCGGCCGATTTCGTACGAAATTTGAAGATACCGAGGACCAGTTACCGTCAGCACCGAAATTGATACAATTCTCCCTCAATGGTTGTCAGATGACTTTAAACACGGTCTCAAACTATTCTAACAATATGTATAGTATTGATTTTTTACATTAAATGTTACGAATCAATTTGGAGATAAGCAGTTATTTTTTTATCGTTGAAGCGTCGTCTTCGTTACGCAGGAGTTATCTCTCTTTACTTACCTCATCAAAGTGCCTCATTTTAATTTACCGCCCTTTTGATGAATGGTAAACCCCGGCGGTGAACAACGTGGAAAGCATGGCTGGGAAGTGGAATGAAGTTGACTGACCAACTGTGAGGAGAAGAAATTTGAAACAGACGAATAAACAGTCAAGATTTTACTCAAAATAGACCGCACATTGGGTTGTGATAGTCGAGATCGTTAATTGACTTGAAATAGCCATTAATAGGATGAAGCTTCCAGACAGCTCCAGTTTACACGCAGGTAATTTCACTAAAACACAGGTCAACATTTAATTTATAAGGTGACAATACAGACATTTTTTTCCATTTGTTATGATAAACCTAAGTAGAAGGGGGCGACCATTTGATATGTTGTTTTAAAGGGACTTCAATACTTTTGTTAGGGGTGCCGTTGGGGTTCTGTTACACCACCCTTTTTACATAAATATTTATTTTTTAAAAATGTATACCTTTTCTTATATTGCATAGGTAAAAATGTAACCTTTTCCCATATTGTTTGTGTTTCATTTGGTTTGTAATGACTATTGTACGAATGTAATACCAAAGTCTCAAAAGAGCAAAATTGATATAAACACAACCGACAACACCAAGAAAGATGACAGTGAAGAAGTTATGGGAATTTTATTGACCTTATCATATATTTCGTGATAGTTTTCCCGACCTATTCACATATGTTTAAGCCTGACAGTGGCACGTCCTTTCACCTTGTATATAGGAAGTACCCCAACCCTTTTGAGGGGTCTTCAGTTGCATCCATGGTTATGTTAATTTTTTAACACATGACATGTCCTGATGTATGTTGTGTTACAAATTATGACACCTGCTGGCCCCACAAAGAGTTGTTGCAAAAGTTCCAGAGGTGCATAGTGTTTGTCACTATCTGTTCACGAAGCATCGTATAAATGCCCCAATTCTACCTTAACATGGCTGCATATCTGTACTATAAATACTGTGTTAACTGTTATCAGGATTACGGACAATGCAAGGGCTGTATAGCCAGTCAAGGTAGTTAAAAACTTCCATCATCATCACGATGACCAATTTCTTGAGCAAATTATATATACATGTAAATACAAATCAGTTTGATGTCCTCTTACACTAATAATAAATTGATGAAATATATTTGGTACTGGCAAAAGACCAAACACATTATCAGGTTGGGAAATTGGGAACAACCCCCCAAATGAGAAATATCCCTTAAATGAGGGACTATCCCTCGGGCAAGGGGTCATTTTACTGTTGAAAAGAAAAAAGAAAAACTTTGAGAAAATTTTTAACTGGAAAGGGGGAAAATTTATTATACAATGTAGTTGGAACAACTATTCTAAAAAAGGGATCCCATTAATTTTAATAATATACAGGGCTCGACAATAACGCTTGTCCGATTGTCCGGTACCAGAGGAAAAAAAGGTCGGACAAGTAAAAGCTATATCAAGCTTGTCCGACGGGACAAGTTAAATTATTATGCAGAAAATAAATTTAATCCAACATTGATGAACAAAGTAATTATAAACAAAAAACAAGAAAAGAAGATAAACACAAGTATTAATTTGACATGTTTACTTGCAATCGATAATTTAAAACTGGTTCTTTGTCAGGTACTTTTTAACAGGTAAAAGGCATACTATTCTCGTAAACCAGTCTTACTGATCCCAATCAGGGATGCACTTTGCAGATAAGGTAACTTTACAAGACAGTTGGTCACCAGCTCGGAAATGATTCGGCTCCAAGTTTAATGGACAGTTTGGCACCGTAGGAGACATATCTAATAGACATGATTAATAGACAGTTTGGCAACACAGGAGACAGGAGACATTTCGGGACCAAGACAAATCAGTACCTGGTTTTCCTACCTTATTCTGTTGCTTTATAATAAATACTATACCATAATTTTTTTAACAAAAATATTTTTTAAATAAAAATGAAGAAATTATTTACCATAAAATTCCCAAATCATATTTGATCATATATAGAAGAAAAACAACACTTGCAATACAGTGACCTATAGTCAGCCAGAGATATAACTCTATAGGGTTATCACAGAAAATAACTTGCGTGTGTTATTACAGATACTTTCATGAGTTGTCTACTCTTTATTCCTTAAATTTTCTAAATCTGTAATAACATATGTTTGTAAAATTATTTCATTTATAGTGGCCTCTAGGGATCTCTTGAGACTTTGCGCAGAAACTAAATGCATAGCCTTGATAACTTAATTTTTTAATTAAATTAATACATTTTTGATTAACCATGGTAAATCAATGAGACAAGGCTATTAAGGGATAAACTTAGCTGTGATAACAAGGCCTAGTTATTAAAGGAATTTAACTTATTATATAAGACACTTGGGAATTACTGAGAAACTTGCGCATAACCTCATTACATGCTCTGGTCATTATTTCTTACAATAAATTAAAATACATTGTAATTAAGCATGATGTATGTCTGAGCAAATGCTTTTGAAGTGATATAGAGAAGCTGTGATAACACCCTTTAGTTATTACAGGCATATTTTTTCTGTAATAACATATAGGTGTACTATGCAAAATTGGCAAACTATGAACTGTTATATCTTTCAATAGTTAAGTATACATATAGACAAAAGTAATATCAATAGAACTTTTAAACATTTTAACTAAACTAATGATGTATATTGTCCCTTTGAAACATATAGCATACATAAGTTATCACAGTTCTTTGATTTTTTAGTCCACAATAACAAATGTATGTTATTTTTCTGTAATAACCCTATAGAGTTATATCCCTGACTGATAGTTATTAATTTCTATGTCATTTGGTCTCTTGCAGAGAGTTGTCTCAATGGCAATCATACCTCATCTTCTTTTTTTCTATTGATTGAATTTGAATAAACTTTTTTCAACTTAAAAAACCAGGATACAAATCCAATGAGTGGAAATTGACAGGCCTATCAGACTGTGCCTCATGTGTAGAGTCTTATGAGACTTTGGCATTGATGAAAACTAGAACCTAAGTCCTGTGACATGACTAGATTCAGTTGTTCTCGACTCATATTTTTAAAAGGTATTTCAAAAGATATAAATCAAATTCTGTTCTATTGTTTTAATTCATTTTGTTCCTTGAATCAACTTAAAATGCAAAAAAGGTTATTATTAAGATTTTTGTTGGACAAGTTACAATTTCATTCGGACAAGTAAGTTTTGGTATGTACTTGTCCTACTGGACAAGTTGGAAAAAAAGTTATTGTAGAGGCCTGATATAAAAGAAGATATAATAAGTCCATGAATATTACAAAATTCTTTGACATGTTTCGACCATATGTATAGTGATAAGTTCTTCGGGAAAAGTTTCTTCAAATAATATAAATATATCAGTCTGAATTGTTAGCCACTCTAGTTCGATGCCCCAGACTAGAAAATATTGATTCCAACTTGTGAAAATTTTCAAAATTTTATCTAGTCATATAATAGAGAGAAGTTTTGAAATTTAATTTCCAGAGTAGAAAATTTAAGTTTTTGGCGCAGACTGATATATGCTCATTTGTACTTAAAAGTGTTTTTTACAAAAAATATTTATCACTTTTAATGTACCCAGAGGTAACCCCTCTTAATTTAAAAGGGATATTCATTACATTGAGGGTCATTTGAGGGGTTGTTCTCAACCTGATTATGGTACATGTATTAAAGTTAGTCCTAATATTTTAAGGAATTTGTCATTTTGTAAATAAGCTGATGTACATTAGTCTGGGACACGTGTTTGACTACATTTGTGTACATGCATATGTCGTGTACAAGGTTGAGTATTAATGAAAAACTGAATTCCTCCCTCTTGTTAGATTAGCTTATATAATGATTAGCTGAATAGCTGGTCATACAATGTATGTATGCTCTAGTCTATATAGTCTCCGCAAGATGTCCTTGACCTTGCTCTAGTGATTTATTGACCTACATACATGTATGCATGTGAAATTGTAATCAAATTTGCATGTACATGTGCTAGACTCCTGGACATTGCTCTTGTGATTTATTGACATAGATGTGCATGTAATCAAGTTTTTATGTTCAATTTATAATATCCTGTTTATATACATGTAGGCAGGGGTCGACGTAATCGCTGGCCCGCTGGCCCGTGGCTAGTAAATTTACTGTCGGGCCAGTCAAATTTAGCAAAGAACGGCCCGACGGGCCAGTCAATATTCTCGGGCCACTTGGGCCAGCAACTTTCATTTTCTACCACGCGGAAGATTGCACATACTTCCGTGTTATTGAAATCAACTGGTAATTATAGCCGGCCAATCAAATTACTCGGTAAAAATCGACGATTCCGAGGTTCTCCGGAATCGCGCGAGATTCGTTTATTCGGGATTTGTCGAGTGAAAAATGGCAGCCCCCAGTTAAAATTAAATAAATTGATGATATGGAACGTTTCCTAACTAACTACCCCCAAAAAAGAAAAGCTGAAACCGATAGCAACCAAAAAGGAAAAGACTATGAAAAATCAAAAAGAAAAAGGGAGTTTATTCCTTCATGGACCGCAACATATAAATGGTTGCAGAATGGCCAAACGGGGATGACCTGCAACATTTGTGCACTATATGATAAACACGGTACATTCGTAACCGGTTGCCAGAATTACAAAAGAGACTCTATCAACCAGCATGAAAAATCAGAATCCCATAAAGTAAATGTTATTAAGTTTAATGGCCAGAAAAACCCAGAAAATTCTGAAGGAGCCAAAGCCCTGAGAGCCCTTAATCAATTAACGGTCAATAGATTGATGTTGAAATTTAGAAATGTGTTTGCCTTGTGTAAAAAGGGACGCCCCTATACTGATTATCCAATGCTATGTGATTTGGATGAATCTAAAGGTTTAGATATAGGGACACAGTATCGCACTGATAAAAAAGCTGCAGAGTTTGCCAGTTTTATTGCTAAAGCGGAAGTAGCCAAGATTGCCCAAGACATGAAAGATGTTCGTTTCATCTCCGCAATATCAGATGGATCAACAGATTCATCTTATCAAGAAGCAGAAATTGTGTTTGTCAGACATTGTCACAAAGGGGACATAAAAATAAATTTTTCATTGGTGAAAAACATCCCAAAAGCTGATGCTGACAGTATATCTAAAGTGATAATGTCAGGTATGAAAAAATTTGATGACGACTATGCCAAAAAAGTTGTTGCATGTGGGACAGATGGAGCAAGTGTGATGCTTGGCTCGAAAACTGGGGCAGTGCAAAGAATACGTGAAGCAGTTGGGCGACCATGGTTAATAGCAGTGCATTGTTCTGGACACAAACTTGAGTTGGCATTTAAAGACACAATCAAGAAGAAAATCAATTTATACGACAAAATTTCACTCTTCTTGTTAAATATTTACTATTTCTACAGAAACAGCTGTCTGAACAGAGCAGCATTAAAAGATTCATTTAAAATTCTGAATCAAACTGTGATACTCCCTACAAGGACAGGAGGCACAAGATGGATGGCACATCTAAAGAAGGCAATAGAGTGTTTCCTTAAAGGCTATGATGCAATAACCCAACATTTGAATCAGGTATTTATAGTATTTTTTTTTACTTCAAATTCTTTTGATAATTTTTTTTTATGTACAAGCTTATTGTCTGAACATGTATTTATTTCATGCCATGATCTGTTACAATGTATCTTCCTTTTGCATAATTAGAGAATACACAATAAGCAGATTACACTTCTGGCGCACCTGCGATTTCCCCATTTTTATACGACCGCAAAAAAATTTTTGTGGTCATATATTGGTATGACGTTGGCGTCGTCGTCGTCGTCCGAATACACATTAGTTTTCGCACTCTAACTTTAGTTTAAGTGAATGGATCTCAATGAAATTTTACCATAAGGTTCAATACCACAAAAGGAAGGTGGGGATTGATTTTGGGGGTTATGGTACTAACAGTTAAGGAATTAGGGGCCAAAAGGGGCCAAAAATAAGCATTTTTGTAACTTCCAGACATAACTTGTGTGTAAGTGTATGGATCTCTCTGACATTGTACCACAAGGTTCCATATCACAAAGGGAATGCTGGGATTGATTTTGGGGGTAATTGCCTCCAAATTTCAGGAATTAGGGGCCAAAAAGGGGCAAAAAACAAGCATTTTTCTAGTTTCATGACAATAACTTGTTTGTAAGTGTATGGATCTTTATGAAATTGTACTACAAGGTTCCATATCACAAAGGGAATACTGGGATTGATTTTTGGGGTAATTTCCTCCAAATTTTAGGAATTAGGGGCCAAAAAGGGGCAAAAAACAAGCATTTTTCTAGTTTCATGACAATAACTTGTTTGTAAGTGTATGGATCTTTATGAAATTGTACTACAAGGTTCCATATCACAAAGGGAAGGCTGGGATTGATTTTGGGGGTTTTCCCTCAAAATTTTAGTAATTAGGGGCCATAAAAGGGCAAAAAAAACATGCATTTTTCTAGTTTCAGGACAATAACTTGTAAGTGTATGGATCTTTATGATATTGTACTGCAAGGTTCCATATCACAAAGGGAAAGCTGGAATTGAGTTTGGGGGTAATTGCCCTAAACGTTTAGGAATTTGGGGCCAAAAAGGGGCCAATAAACAAGCATTTTTCTAGTTTCCAGACAATAACTTGTGTTCAAGTGTATGAATCTCTCTGAAATTGTACTGCAAGGTACCATACCACAAAGGGAAAGCTGGGATTGAGTTTGGGGGTGATGAATCATAAGGGGGTTCAAAAAATTGGGGGGGGGGATTTTTTTTTTCCTTTTTTTTCTTTAACATTTTCCATTTTAAATTGGTTATTTCTGATTTATATATAAAAGCAAATAATAATGATATGGTTTGAATAGGCATACATGTGAACCTCCCGACGGGAGTACAATAATCCCGTTTTCAGGGGTCTCCTCCCGACCTCCCGTTGAAGAGGAAAAAATCCCGTGTATGAAATTTTTCATGAATGAAAAATTTCTGCCCAACATATCATCTCAGGCATCTGGTGTAACTGACATTACCTGAAGTTATATTTTACCTGTAAATCAATTAACATGCATAATTATATGGCTTCACTTGTCAGCTTGGGTGTCAAACATACTGGTAATCAACGATTTTTACCTCAGGCTAACTGCCGTTGTGTAACAAAAACTGTGTATTTATTGGGTTACTTCCCTTGATTTATCCTGTTTTAAGTTACTTTCCTTTTAATAATGAAAATTTTTAAAAAAATATAAATAAAATATAAATTGAACAAATAATCATAAAAGGATGGTTATTAAATGATTTAAAATGTCTTAGGACAAATAAAAAAATAATAATTTGAAAATTATTTGAGGATTCTATACTTCCTTTCAAGGCTTAAATTGAAATTTATATAATAACTATGACCCTAATTTTACAGATAGAATGATTTTCTGAGTTTGCAAATAAAAACTATTTGCAAGAGAAAAAAAAATAAAATAAAAACTATTTGCAGATAGCTAAACAAATGTTCTGGTTGCAATGATTGTTTTATAGAATATGAAGTAAAAAATTTAAAGAACATACTGGAAAAAAACAATGTTAGATTGAACATGTAGAATATAAAGATGGAGAAACTTTATAAGTACAAGGGTACTATAAACATAATAAATTGGATGGAAAGTTGAAGAAAACACACTTTAAAAGACCATTCTTACAGCACACGGTTACATTTACAACAAAATTAATGTCGATTAAAAACCTCCTGATCTGAGTCCTAATCTCCTGACCAAAATTTCCCAATCTCCTGATCTGAGTTTCACAGTCCATCACATGTATGAATAGGTAAATTGAAAATTTTTAAGTTCTTAGACCACTTTCATTCTGTGTCAGAAACCTATGCTGTGTCAAATATTTAATTACAATCCAAATTCAGTGCTGTATCAAGCTTGAATGTTGTGTCCATACTTGCCCCAACTGTTCAGGGTTCGACCTCTGCGGTCGTATCAAGCTGCGCCCCAGCGGAGCATTTTATTTTCATTTGTTTAAGTTTTCAGTGGTGAGTGTTAATGGGTTATGTGCGTCATTTTGCAGTTTATAAGCTTTTCTTTGTTCATTACCTATCTTTTTGATAAACAGTTATTTCTGCTTCAATTTTGAAAACATCTTTAAATTATAAACATTTAACATTCTGTGTTCTTCTTATTGCAGCTCCAGAATCCTGACGACAAAATATACACCAGTGATAAGGGGAACAAGGCAAAGTTTTTCCTAAAAGTTGTAAACTCCAAGTCTGTATGGTATATGCTGCACTTTTTGATGGATGTGTTAACAATTTTGGTAGACGTCAGTAAACTTTTTCAGGAAAAAACTGCAACCATATCTAGAATCTTGGTGAATATAGAAGTGGCAGTTGAGCAAATCACAAAGTTACAAACCAGGTTTGATAATTTTGCTTTAATGTCATTGCATAAATTAATACATTTTTAATTTTTGCTTTAATATGGCCAAAATAATGAATTTGAATGGGGTACTTCTTGACAGTGCTTGGCCAAAACATTAAAATTTTGGCACCTACCCTCATACATGTCATATAAGGGTTGTTTTTGCAGTGCAGTGTCCTTTAGTAATTTGTTTGTCTGGCAGATTCCATACCATTAAAAAATATTTTCATACTATTGTTTTAAGTTTATTGTATACAACTATTTAATATATTTTCCAGTAATGGTCCATATCTGAGGAAGGCTGTGGAAACTGCCCATGATCATCTGAAAGGAGACTTGACTTCATTTGAAAGTGCCCGCAGAATCTTCACCACCAACATATTGTCTGCCCTGAATGTTCGATTTGTTGAAAATCCTGGTATATTGAAAACTTGTGGTGTACTTGACTTACTGAAATTTCCTCTAAACACAGACGAGGCTAAAGGTATAAAATATTTCTTCTTTCATACATGTCTTATTCCAATTTTGTCCACTTTTGTTTTTGTTGAAACCGAAATCAAGTGTGTCAATACATAATTCTAATTTTATTTTGATCTTTTTTTAATATTATATATAAAATACAGCTGAAAAAATAATATGAAGAAATCCTTTTGTCCGTCAGTCAGCTGTCTGTCTGTTCATTAACTTGTGAGTATGCTCAAATTAATTCTAATGTATTATCAATTATTCTCTACTTCAGATTATGGGGATCATGAGATAGCTGAATTGGTGGACTATTTCAGATCAGGGTTGATTGAGGCTGGGGTTGAGGTTGGGATGATTGAAATGGAATGGACTAAATTAAAACACAATTTAATAACCAGGTACTTCAAACATAGTTACATACTGTTGCATTCATAATTAAACATGTCACAAAATAATAATTGTCAGACAATTTTTTATTGCTAATCTCTGATTCTATACAGGTTCAATAAGAATTCTATTCACCTAATTATGAAATAAATGATAATAAACAATAATCTTATATAAAATAAAGAAAAAAAGTCATGCCAGTGTATAATATTAGTTTGTTGGTTTATCAACTTTCAATTAAAGGCATCTAGAAAAATAAATGTTTTGATGCTTCAATATCAGATTAATTCATACATGTTGATTTATTTCAGAAAAGTTTGAGGTATGCCTTTTCAGTCTAAGCTTTTAGTCTGGTGATAGCATATTTTCACATGTATTTATATCATATCTAACCTCAGATTAACTCCACTGCTTTTTCTTTTCTTTGATATACTCACTGTAAGCTATCTTATCATTATAAATACATGTCTTTGTGTTGCTTTTTATTGACTATTGACATTTGATTATACTCACTGTACAATTCAACTTATTGTTCATACAAAAAGTCATTGTGTCACTGCTTATTTACAGAAGACATTCTTATTTACTGTGTGTTAACTTCATTTAAACGGATACAGTAAGGAAGTATCGACCATGCATAACCAAACCTTATGGTTAGTCAAGGTCCAAAAACACTTCCCTTTGTTGCTGTAAGGAATATAAAATAGAGAACACCTTTATTGCATTTTATAGTGAAAAACAAAAATTGTTGAGAGTTTTGGTTCGTGTCTTCTCATCATATAAACCTATAGCTACTTTTATTGATTAATGTGAGTCAATCCATGCTAGTTCCATTCTAAAAGTTAGTACCATCCATTTCAGGTTTAAAGATCCAGGAAGCACAACATGGAAGGAGTTAAACGAGATGTGTTCTGGCGAGTGTTCAAATCTCCTCAGTCTAGTTGACCTAATACTTACCATACCTGCATCTTCAGCTGATGCTGAGAGAGGTTTTAACCGCCTCAAAATGGCCAAAAGTGATTGGCGGAGCAAACTATCAGATGCAAACCTCTCGGACCAACTGACAATTATGCTGGAGGGACCCTCCATACTTTTATTTGACCCTGTACCAGCAATTAATTTATGGAGTTTGACTCCCAAGGAGAGGTCAGACACGGAATGATAGCAATCATATCATCAAACCTGTAAATAACCCTGTTGAAAACCCTGCTAATGATGTGGTGATTGATCACAATTCAGCCATAGAGACGACTGAAGATGAAATTGAAATAGAAATCATGAATAGAGCCAGAAGAGTTGTTAAACTCATTCAAATGATTGACAATGAACCGTATGAGAGTGACAATGATTTATATCTTGATGAATCTGATGATGATGAGCTGCAATATAAAGATATTGATGATAGAAGGAGTGACCAGTGCAATGCTTTTTCTGACTTTTGTGAACAGCTTGAAACTTCTTCAATTTAAAGTGTTTATTCTTAATAAAAGTTATCATCAATGAATTCTCAGTATAAAAATGGCATGTTTCAAGACAATATTTCTCTCCAAATATTGCATCAAAAGCTCTCAGATTGCAGGATTTTGTGCAAATAATACTAAAAGTTTCCAAACCCCCCCTAACGCGTCGGTCCACTTTGTGGACCGACATTTCTCGGGCCAGTAAGATTTTGATTGGGCCAGTTGATCAAAAAATTTTTTGGCCCTTCGGGCCAGGAAATTCTTTTTTCTTAAGTCGACCCCTGTGTAGCTGTGTAGTTCATCTATATTTCATATAATTTGGTGTCTGCAATACATGTAATTGTAAGATGTGTATGTCTTTCTGGAAGGATTCAACTGGTGGCCTTCCGCTGTTGTCTGCTCTATGGTCGGGTTGTTGTCTCTTTGACACATTCCCCATTTCCATTCTCAATTTTATGATTGTATTTTGATCATGTCTGTCTTGCAGGGTTCATCTGATTGTTTTTTGGGGTGCTTAAAATGGTGAAGAATCTTCTTAATTTGAACACTATTAGAACTGGTCTGGAAGTCTTAATCTGAAACATCTTGGAGATATGCATAATTTACCATAATAAATTTCCTGACAAAACATTACTTTCATAT